ACAGTGGCCTCCATCATCCGTAAATGGAAGAAGTTTGGAACCACCAGGAATCTTCCTAGAGCGGGCCGCCCAGCCAAAGTGAGTGATCAAAGGAGAAGGGCCTTAGTGAGGGAGGTAACCAAGCACCCGATAGTCACTCTGAAAGAGTTCCAGTGTTTCTCTGTGGAGAGAGAAGATCCTTCCAGAAAAACAACCAACTTTGCAGCACTCCGCCAATCAGGCCTGCATGGTAGAGTGGCCAGAAGGAAGCCACTCCTCAGTAACAGGCAAATGGCAGCCCACCTGGAGTTTGCCAAAAGGTACCTGAGGGACTCTCCAATCATGAGACACAAAACTTTCTGGTCTGATGAAACAAAGATTGAACTCTTTGGCCTGAATGCCAAGCATCATGTCTGGAGGAAACCAGGCACAGCTCACCACCTGGCCAATTCCATCCCTACAGTGAAGCATGGTGGTGGCAGCATCATGCTGTGGGGATGTTTTTCAGTTTCAAGAACTGGAAAACTAGTCAGGATCAAAGGAAAGATGAATGCAGAATGTACAGAGACATCCTTGATGAAAACCTGTTCCAGAGTGCTCTGGACCTTATACTGGGGCACCGATTCATCTTTCAACAGGACAATGATCCTAAACACAAAGCCCACATAACAAAGGAGTGGCTACGGGCCACCTCTGTGAATGTCCTGGAGTAGCCCAGCCAGAGCTCAGACTTGAACCCGATTGAACATCTCTGGAGAGATCTGAAAATGGCTGTGCACTGATGCTCCCCCATCCAACCTGATGGAGCTTTACAGATACTGCAAAGAAGAATGGGAGAAATTGCCCAAAAATGTGTGTGCCAAGCTTGTAGCATCATACTCAAAACAACCTGAGGCTGTAATTGGTGCTAAAGGTGCTTCTACAAAGTATTAAACAAAGGCTGTGAATACTTTTTCTATTTTTAATAAATTGCAAAGATTTCAAAATGAACTTCTTTCACATTTGTCATTATGGGGTATTGTTTGTAGAATGTTGAGGAAAAAAATTAATTTAATCCATTTTGAAATAAGGCTGCAACATAACAAAATGTGGCAAAAGTTAAGAGCTGTGAATACTTTCTGGATGCACTGTATAGTAGACTGGAACCTCACCACCGTACAAAAGACTGTGTACTCCTAGAAGCCTCATTTTCAGAAACACCTCTAAGTACTATTCCTTTGCTGTCAAGGCGTTACTTCCCCAAACCCATGCAAGATCATCCGCTTATTGGGCCAACGTTATCATGCTTTCAAGACATATGCAAACACCTTAACGTGTCCCTGATGTCTGGTCCCATGACACCCATCTAAATGAACCCAAATTTCAAACCAGGGATGGCCGACACTTTTTTGGCAGGAGTTAACATCAGGGGTGAGCTACGTGCCCACTGTTTCTTCGATAACAGGAAACTACATGACTATACTCAAAATGGCCTGAGGGTCATTCGTCCCTTTTGAGAAAATCTTCAATTGCACCATTTTCTTCACTCTTCTATTCAATCTATCACAATATGAAGATCCCTCACCCCTTTTGAGAGTCTCTGCTCCAAATCTTCTTCCCAAACACATGTAATCTCCACGATTAACAGCCTCTTCTGGATGAACAAGTCCCTAGATTTCAAAAAAGCCTATAATGCCTAGATGCGTAACCTCCAATTAGACCTTTCTTAAGATGACTGGAAGCACATTTTATCGTAACATTCATAAGGGATCAGGTAATGTCTTCATCCAGGAAAACAACTACAAACTGTTGTCATGCTGTTACCGGACGCCTCCTATATTACACAAATTTGAACCCTCAATCCCCAACCGCTGATGGTGTTGCAATCGTGCAGTTGGCACAATCTTGCATATTTGGTGGGAATGCTAACCACTCCAACTCTCTTGGGATGCAGTACATAGCACAATTGCAAGAGTGACAATGTGCACTCTTGAATTTACTCCAGCTCAGTTCCTACTTCATCAATCCCCACTCCCCTCTGGGGAAAACTTTAAATCACTTACAATTCAAATGGTAAATGCTGCCAAAATGTGAATTCACATAGATCGGGGTACATCAGAGATAACCTCCCTTCAAGAATGGTTCAGGGGAATCACCAAGATGGCAAAAATGGTAGAACTTATCTCCACGGCACACAATTCCCCTTCTAAATTCACATCTGTATGGACATGCTGGCTTCACTTTCAAACAACTGCTGACTTTCTTCTATTGTCTAGTGTTTCCTAAAGTCCTTGTTACTCCCATGCTAACTGTCATTGCACGTGATTCTTTCTATTGCTGCTAAACTTTATCACAACTTGACATCCTTCCATATTTGCTGGGCAAGTTTAGTGAAGCTCCTGATGGAGGATCTTTCAGGACATTCTATACCCTTGCTCTTTTTTTAGTGTATCTTCCCTTCCACTATGTCCTCACATCCTTACTTTTTCTTACCCACTCCTTGTAGGCCCCTCCAATTCATTTCATTTTTGAGTTTTTTTGTGTTATACTTTGTTCCCCCGTTCCCCCCCTCTTTTTTTTTCCTTTCAAATACTCCTACTTCTCTCTTTATTACCCTCTCCTTTTATTCTATTTCTTTGCCTTTTTCATAACTCTCCTTCTTATTTAGACCGATATTACCCCAGTACCGCACAGGTACAGTTTGCCTCCTGGATTAGCACATAAGCTGGAGGAACCCATTGGCCATTGTGTTGGACTCCCGTTTTGATACCTTTTTTAAATTTTGCAAATATGACATTTGGGGCTGGACAAAAGTATTGGCACCCTTAACTTAATATTTGGTTGCACATTCCTATAATATACAGAGCCTACCCTTGCCCCCTTTCTGGAGTGAGCTACTGTCAGCAGCTTTTTCTCACCTCACACATTATATATGCCTTCTTAGTACACACCAGTCCCCAACACACTTGATCGATAGTGTATATATTGGTGACTGACATACCCAAATGGGTATTGGTACTGCTCGGAACATAGCTGCTATATACTTTTATAATAATTTTTTTCTCAAAATGTTAGTAAATAACCATAGGATGTATAGCTCATGTGGCATAGGTTTAAAGGTTTGAAGAAAATTCTTACCTATTTGTTTTGTTCTGACTCACATGATGTTACTATGTATGCATACTCTGTATACAGTACTCTTGTTTTTTTTTTTTTGCTCCTTTGTAAACCATTTTAACCTCCTAAATGGCACATATTGTCTACCATTGTTTTTGTTGTTACTACCATAATGCAAATCAGATACAGTTGCAAGAAAAAGTATGTGAACCCCTTGGGATTACCTGGAGTTTTGCATGAATTGGGCATAAAATGTGCTCTGAACGTCATCTAAGTCACAACAATAGAAGAACACAGTTTGCTGAACATAATACTACACAAACATTAGATGTTGTCATGGTTTAATTGCACATAACATGTAAACATTCACAGTGCAAGGAGGAAAAAGTATGTGAGGCCCTAGCTTAATGACTTCTCCCAGAGCTGATTGGAGCCAGGAGTAAGCCAACCTTGACTCCAATCAGTGTGATGATATTGGATGTGTTGCTGACAGCTGTCGTGCCCTTAAAAAACACACACCTGTTTTGGGTTTACTGGTTTCAAGAAGCACTGTCTGATGTGAACCATGCCTCGCAGAAAAAAGCTCTCAGAAGACCTGCGATCAAGAATTGTTGACTTGCATGAAGCTGGAAAGGGTTACAAAAGTATCTCCAAAAGCCTTGATGTTCATGTGTCCACGGTAAGACAGCTGTCGATGTGGCCCTTCGCAGAAAAAACACAGACACCAGAATTGTTGACTTTTGGTAAAGGGTTGACAAAAGAATCTCCAAAAGCCTGACTGTCTCCAAATGGAGAAAGTTTAGCACTGTTGCTACTCTCCCTAGGCGTGGTCGTCCTGTAAAAATGACTGCAAGAGCACAGCGCAGAATGCTGCATGAGGTAAAGAAGAATCCCAGAGTGTCAGCTAAAGACCTACAGAAATCTCTGGCACATGCTAACATTTTTGTTGACACATCTACAATAAGGAAAACATTAAACAAGAATGGAGTACATGGGAGGACACCACGGAGGAAGCCATTGCTGTCCAAAATAATATTGCAGCACGTTTGAAGTTTGCAAAAGAGCACCTGGATGTTCCACAGCGCTACTGGCAAAATATACTGTGGACAGATGAAACCAAGATTGAGTTGTTTGGGAAGAACACACAACACTATGTGTGGAGAAAAAAAGGCACAGCACACCAACATCAAAACCTCATCCCCACTGTAAAACATGGCGGAGGGAGCATCATGGTTTGGGGCTGCTTTGCTGCCTCAGGGCCTGGACGGATTGTTGTCATTGATCGGAAAATGAATTCCAGAGTTTATCAAGACATTTTGCAGGAAAATGTACGACCATCTGTCTGCCAACTGAAGCTCCGCAAAGGATGGGTGATGCAACAGGACAATGACCCAAAGCATACAAGTAATTCAACAAAACAATGGCTGCAACAGCACAGAATATGCCTTCTGGAGAGTCCTGACCTCAACCCGATTGAAATGCTGTGGCATGACCTTAAGAGAGCGATTCACACCAGACATCCCAAGAATATTGCTACATTGAAACAGTTTTGGGAAGAGGAGTGGTCCAAAATTACTCCAGATTGTTGTGCAGGTCTGATCTGCAACTACAGGAAACGTTTGGTTGAGGTTATTGCTGCCAAAGGAGGGTCAACCAGTTATTAAGTCCAAAGGTTCACATACTTTTTCCTCCCTGCACTGTGAATGTTTACATGTTATGTGCAATTAAACCATGGCAACATCTAATGTTTGTGTAGTATTATGTTCAGCAGACTGTGTTCTTCTATTGTTGTGACTTAGATGACGTTCAGAGCACATTTTATGCCCAATTCATGCAAAACTCCACGTAATCCCAAGGGGTCCACATACTTTTTCTTGCAACTGTATAAAGAGATAGTAATAAACTCTGTACCATATATTTTTCAGATGTCTATGCCAAAGCCTGTGGTACGAAAACCAAAAGTCTCCTTTATTGATGTCAATACAGAAAGTTTAGTAAGTACTGTACATATATATTTTTATTATGCTTGGAAATTTTATGATCTCCCAGGGTTTGCTTGGGTTTGCACAAGGTGATACTACGCTTTCCACCAACAAGCCAATACCTTTCTGGTAGCATAATTGCATTCCCAGAATTGGACCCTATACAGTATATAGTACATTCTGTGAATGGATCTATGTATGTAATCTATAAACAGCTGCATAATGGAGGGTTTTTTGTGAAACCAGGCTGTGTTTGCCAACAAAAGCTGTTCTACAAGCTCCTCCATTTTATTTCAGTAATAGGTGTCTGTCTTTTTAAGCTGCTGTCAGCATTCTAAATCAGATTTTAAGGAAGAAAGGCTCCACTGGTATTGGCAACAGTAGGTCATGCACAAGTCAGGCATACCGACAAACAGTCCAAGCAGGGTTTTTCAGCACTTTATTCAGGAATGCAGTAAACAAAAATAACATTAAAGCAAGACCTTAGCATAAAATAAAGCCACTTACTAAATTCATATATGTTTCTAACAGTGTGCCTCTTGATGGGGTTCTCCAAAACAAATGGACAGCTCTTATACTTTTTTTTAGAAGTCGGTTAGCGGTCATCCTTTTCACCCAGTAGCAGACTCTCATAGAAGAGAGAATAACAGAGAGCCCTGAGCATGTGTCAGTTCACTTATATACTGTAAAGGTCAGTTCAAATATGAGAATAATTAATCAGGTCCGATTAATAGGTAAGACTGTGGGGGCTCACAGAAAAGAAAGGCTAGTCCTGTGTTTGAGTGCCAAAACAAATTTGCCAAGTTGAGCGAAGCTGGGGAGGTAGCAAACACAGGGGTGACAGCTCTGGATGTCACTGTTACTCCTAACATCCAGGAGAGCAGCCCATCTAGTATGGGTGGTGAGAGTAGTGCAGGAAGGCCTAGACAGTTGGTGGTAATAGGGGATTCTATAGTCAAAAGGACTGATAGAATAATTTGTCGCCAGGATTGTCTCAAGCAAATGGATTTGCTGTCTCCCTTGTGCCAGGGTTCGGCATGTGGTGGACCGGGTTGATAAATTACTGAGAAGGGCTGGGCATGGCCCAGCTGTCTTGGTCTCTGTTGGAGCCAATGGCAGAATACAATGAAGGTGGAGTAATAAAAAATAAATAAAATAAAATAAATGTATTTTATTTTTATTACTACAAACACATTGTAGAATAGTAGGAGCATGGCACATTATTTATATTCGTTTTCATGCACATTAATATATGGGATTGCGTTTGGTGTTAGCAGCTTTCAAACTAGAAATAATTGTATAGCAGCTCACAAGGTTTTGACATAAACACTGAAGGTGGAGGTTCCTTAAAAATCAATTTAAAGAACTAAGCACCATTTGTCCCTGTGCACATGTCAACATCTGTCACAGTGTCCCACAAACATCTGTCAACATCTGTCACAGTGTACAGTGCACAAAAACATCTGTCAGTGTACAGTGCAAAAAAAAAATCTGCCACAGTGCACAAAACATATGTCAGTGTACAGTGCACAAAACAAATATTAATAAAAAAAATTTAACTCACTCTTGTCCCCCCTTGTGCACGTGCAAAGGCAAACGTACACAGTGGTCTCATGCACATATGTAAACAGCAATCGCACCACACATGTGAGGTAACGCCACGAACGGCAGAGCGAGAGAAATAATTCTAGCACCAGACCTCCTCTGTAACTCTAAACTGGTAACCTGTAAAGGTTTATAAGAGTGTATTTTTTCCCAAAAAATTGCGTTCGAAAAACTGCTGCGCAAATACTGTGTGACATAAAAAATTACAAAATCCACCATTTTATTCTATAGGGCCTTTGCTAAAAAAAAAATATGATTGGGGGTTCTAAGTAAATTTTTTAGTAAAAAAGTGTCAGAAGAAGGCCTGGTCTTAAAGTGGATAATGCCTGAATGTGCCTGAAAGAGAAAAAGTCTCACATGTGGTATCCCCATACTCAGGAGAAGTAGCAACATGTGTTTTTGGGTGTAGTTGCAAGTATGCCTATGTCGTGTGTGAGAAATAACTTGTTAATATGACTTTTTTGTGAAAAAAAAAAAGATTTACTTTATTTTCCAAAGCATTGTGGGAAAAGATTACAACTTAAAAAAACTCACCATGCCTGTTACTAAATACCTTGGTATGTCTACTTTCCAAAAAGAGGTCATTTGGGGGAGGGTACTTGTACTGTCCTGACTTGTTAGTGTCTCAAGAAATGAGAGTCAGTATATCAGTTGTGATCAGGTGTGATCAGTTTTCAGTGATGGGTACCATAGCTTGTAGACTCTATAACTTTCACACAGACCAAATAAAATACACTGATTTGGGTTATTTTTACCAAAACAATGCAGTACTATAAAGTATGGTCAAAATTTATGAAGAAAAATAACTTTTTTGCAAAATTTTATAACAGAAACCAAGAAAAACTTTTTTTCAAATGTTTCAGTATTTTTTCCTTTATTATGCAAAAAATAAAAAACCCAGCGGTGATTAAATACCACCAAAAGAAAGCTCTATTTGTGTGAAAAAAATAAAATAAAAATATCAAAGTGTGAGAGTGTTCAAAGCTAAACATTAGCCTGGGCAGGAAGGGGGTGAAAGTGCCCAGTATTGAGGTGGCTAAATACCTTCTTCAGCTCTGTGTATACAAAGGAGCATGGGGAGCTTATTTCCATAATGAGGACGATATTGACACAGCCCCAGATGATCCACATTGGCTCACAATTGATATGATCCAGAAATATTTAGACAGAAATAAATATGAATAAATCACCTGGACCAGATGACATACACTCACAGAGCCAAAAATAACTGAGCTCTGTCATTTCAAAGCCATTGTACCACTGGATTGGCGTAAGGCCAATGTGGTGCCAATATTTCAAAAGGGGTCAAAGTCTTTACCAAGTAATTATAGACCTGTTAGTTTAACTTCTATAGTCAGGAAGATACTGGAGAGTTTAATCACTTGCCTACTGGACACTTTTACCCCCTTCCTGACCTTGCCAATTTTCAGCTTTCAGTGCTGTTGTACTTTGAATGACAATTGTTTGGTCATGCAACACTGTACCCATATGACATTTTTTATGGGTATTTAATCACCATTTTATGTTTTGCACCATAAATGAAAAAATACTACAAATTTTGAAAAAAAAAAAAAAAAAGTTTTTTGTTATAACATTTTGCAAACAGGTAATTTTTCTCCTTCACTGATGTTTGTAGATGAGCCTGCACTGATAGGCAGCACTGATAGTCTGCACTGATGAGGCGGCACTGGTGGGCATTGATGAGAAGACACTGATGAGACTGCAATAATATGTGGCACTTATGGGCACTGACAGGCGGCAATGATAGGCACTGATAGCGAGCACTGAAGGGCACTGACTGGTGGCACTGTCAGTCACAGATTGGCAGCACTGCTTGGCGCTGATGGGCAGCACTGTTCGGCACTTTTGGGGCTGCAATGATAATCCGGGCACTGATAATTAATACCCTGATTATCAGTGTAGTTGAATCCTTGCACAGTTGCCAAACAGTTGTCACAGTTCATTTGCAACAACGTGAGGAAAGTACTGCCTATAACTGGCAAGTTTATTTACATGGTAATCAGCTGTGATTGGACACAGCTGATCACGTGGTAAAAGGCCGCTGGCCCTTTAACTTGTCATGTGATCAGCTGTGTCCAAAGGACACAGAGAGCTCAGGAGGCGCGTTCTGCGACAACGTCATATGATGTCTTCCCATAACTGGACAACCACGCTGTAGCCATTAAAAAAGACCACACAGATGAGTCCTTCCTAGTAAAAAAAATATTTTAGGTAGCAAACAGCTTGGATTCATGAAAGACAGATGTTGTCAAACAAATCTGATTTCTTTTTGTGAGGAGGTAAGCAAAACGTTAGACAAAGGAGTGGCTGTGGATATAATATACTTGATATTTGCAAAACCGTTTGACACAGTTCCCCACACACAGCTAATGTGTAAGGTAAAGTCTACAGGCTTGGAAAAATCAGTTTGTAAATAGATAGAAAATTGGCTAAAAGACCGAATTCAGAGAGTAGTTGTTAATGATTCATACCCTGAATGGTCTAGGGTTGTTAATGATGTACCCCAAAGTTCAGTGTTGGGACCCTTACTTTTTAATATATTTATAAATGATATAGGGTGTGGAATTAAAATAACTATTTCAGTGTTTGCAGATGACACCAAGCTATGTAGTGGAATGACGTCCTTACAGGTTGTCTTCAACTTACAAGCTGGCCTCTTACAAGCTGCACTGTTTAATTGGACAACTATGTGGTAAATGAGGTTTAATGTTGATAAATGTACACTTTTGTACTTGGGGGCTAAGAATATGCACACATCCTACATATTAGGGGCAGTACTATTGGGGGAATCAATGGTGGAGAAGGATCTTGGAGTTCTGGTAAATCATAAGCTTAATATTGGCATACAATACCAAGCTGCGGTTTCCAAAGCGAGCAAAAATGTTCTTGTATTTAGAGAGGTATAGACTTCAGGGAGAGAGATATCATTTTGTCCCTGTACAAATCATTAGTAATACCTCATCTGGAATATGCAGTTCAGATACAAGACAAATACTAGATCAGTGTTCGTCCTCGGAGAGATGGTTAGGGAAATGACAGACAGAAGCAGTCAGCAGGCAGATGTACAGGTCAGCGGCAAACAGTCCAGGTTCCAGACAGGTAAACAGAAGAATGATCCAGACTGTGTGCCGCTGGTCCTCAGTTCTTTTGCCTGAGGGCAGTCGGATCATATATGCATATTTAACTATCATTGGATATCTGATAGTAGCTTTAAAGTACTTTTATATCTGAAAGACCAGACTTCAGCCTGATGAGCTGTTCCATAGTTGCATACACAGTCAAGTCAAAGTTAAGACTTGAAACATGCGAGCATTAGTTAAGCCTTTATTTGTGTCAGAAAACATTTAAAATGTGTAATATAATCTATACTTATTTCCTGCTGTCATACCTAACGGAAACCTTGTTCATTCTTCATACCTCTGACTTCCTCTATGGGTCTATGAATGTTATAGTACCTGGAGGGCAAGGAGCCATATGCAGGTAAATACCAGAAATGGTATCTTGCTAACCTCTAGGAAACAGAAGCTTGACTATTGTACATAATGTACACAATTTAAAATAAGGAGCATTATGTTTTTTCTTTGACAGAATATTAAGGAAAATTGAAGTAGAATAGTTTTGCAGGAAAAAAACAAATCTTGAATGTGGCTGCCTTTAATCATATAGTTTTATAATGGTTCTTTACTGAGAGGCTTGATATTGACAAAATGCATCAACGTCTTAACCAGTTTAGGCAATAGACTTTACAGGAAAATGCTCGTATTCATTTACTAAATGTGACAATCATCAAACAGCCTGGATTATTCAGTAATACCAACTTGCTGCAAGCATTTTATTTGAACATTATCAAGAAAATGAATAATCCAGTTTTACTGAGCGCAGATTGCAGGTAAACCTCTCAGTGTCAAGTATCTTATTTTTCCCTGTCTCTTTATCCAGTAAGGTACTGCTGTACGTTGTTAAACTGCAAACTGTGGGGATACTTATTTCTGCAGTGCAGATTAACCACTTGCCAACTGCGCTATAGCCAAATGACAGCTACAGAGCGGTTGTCCAGTTCTGGGAGGGCATCATATGATGTCCTCGCAGAACGTGCCCCCGGTGATCTCCATGATCGCTGTGTCCTATAGACACAGCTAATCACATGATGTGGTAAAAGGCCAATCACAGTAGCCCTTTACAACGTGATCAGCTGTGTCCAATGATACAGCCGATCACTGGTAAATGCAGTTGCCGGTTATCTGCTGCACTTTCTTCACGCTGTCACAGCGTGAGGAAAGTACTGCTGATAACTGGCAATTGTCAGAGGACGGATCGGCACCGATCATCAGGGCTGCCCACCTGTGCTCAGCAGTGCCTATTAGTGCCACTCACCAGTGCCCAGCAGTGCCACCCATCAGTGGTACCCAGCAGTGCCACCAGTCAGTGCCTTTCAGTGCCCATCATTGTTTCATATCAGTGCATGCCAGCTCTTCAGTGCCACCTACCAGTGCTGCCTATCTGTGCCTGCCCATCAGTGCTGCCTATCAGTGCAGCCTCCTCAACGCACATCAGTGAAGGAGAAAAATTACGTTTGCAAAATTTTATAATAAAAAAATAAAGAAAACCTCTTTGTTTTTTTTAAATGTTTTGCTCTTTCTGTTTATAGTGCACAAAATAAAATACCCAGCGGCGAATAAATACCACCAAAAGAAAGCTCTATTTTTGGGAAAAAAATGATAAAATTGTTATATGGGTACAGTGTTGCATGACTGCACAATTGTCATTCAAAGTGCGACAGCCCTGAAAGCTGAAAATTGGCCTGGGCACGAAGGGGGTATAAGTGCCCAGTAGGCAAGTGGTTAACAACAACAATGCAGAAATCACTCTTGGGTGGCCAGTGCACTCATTAATGGCTGTGAACTGAGCCATCATCGAACTCAGTTCACTGACACAATGTATAGAGCTGATCCAAACTCCTCTGTACCAAGTATTTGCTGTGATGATCAATCACAAATGTAAATTGTGTATTGTTTACATTGGGGAGTCTGTACCTTCATCTTACATTGGAAGAAGGGAGAGATGGAGGGACTAATGAATTAATTAATAAATCATTAATTTGTTAGTTCCAGATCAACAGAGGTTGTGAAATTGTTTTTAACCCATTCACTCTACCCTTCCCTCCTGTATATCTCAGGTCCATTATGTCTCTGCAGTGACCTGTATATTAACCCATTTCTCTCCTATATCCTGCACATCTGTTCAATAATCCATTCATCTCCATGCTCACACTGTATGCGACCTGTAAATTAACCCCTTCGCCTTATCTTCCCTTGAGTGTGCAGGTCACATTTAACATACCTAGTGCACCATTGGCAAGCTCCATGTTTTAAACCATTCAATAACAGCCATATTTCTTCACCTACAAAAAAAAAAGAAGGGGGGGGGGGCAACAATTAGATCGCCCTAGGTTGTCTACTAGGGATTATCTGGGGAGGTTTTTTATTGCCCTGCAATTTTTTAATATGTGTTATAACAGATAGTAAAGGAAACAGTTTTTTTATGTCTTTTGTTTCCTTTATATAGTAAAAAATTATTGAAAAACCGTATGGCCTTTAAATACCACCAAAAAAAGCTCTACCTGTCTCAATAAAATTATATAAAATGAATTTGGGTGAAGTGTTGTGAAGTCTCACTTTGTTTGACAAGGTCCATAGATTAATGCTATATTGTGAAAGTGTTTTGGGTATTAAAATGCTGGAAATGTAAACATAATATATTCTCTTTATTCAAAAGGAAAACGATAAACCTGCAACAGAGGAAAGTCCGAAAAAAGCATTGAAGGACCATCCAAACAACAATGAAGAAAGCTCACAACTTTCAGATGGGCAATATGAACTCCAAAGTTATGACACATCAGGCGATGAAACAGAAGTATCTGAAAATTTGGAAGCAGAAGGTACTAAAGGCATTCCATTCAATTATTCCCATCCAAAATTATTAATTAAAACTAAACATTGCAGTCTGTGACAGTGATTTATCAAGGCAGGTGCACAGAGAGGAAGTGCCTAAAAGATTACAAGGGGCATCTTGATATTTGTCAAGACAACCTAAAAAAATGCAGAGCATCCTTGCAATACATGCACATTTTCCCATGTGTTATCCTTTGAAATGCTGTGCAAGTATAGAGAGATACCTGTTCACCTTCCAAAAATGTTAAAGAGCTCATAATTTCCTTTGACAGAATGACACCACATGCCTTATTTGTAGGCCTAAATTTTAAGATCTGGTGTCAGCCTAACCCAATTGTCTATTAAACTACTAATAAACTACTAAATCCCTTCAATTCTACTTATTTACACAGCATAGGAACTAATTGTTCTTTAGTGTAAGAAATAAGATGGACTCCATGACATATTATACTGTGCACCGGACAACACTGAATTTCTGACATGCTTGATGGCTTTTTTTTTTTTTGCATTTCCAGATAAAACAACCAGCTTTTAATTATATATCTAACAGATCAAAAGGGAGGAGATTAGAAAATTTCAAAGTTGGGGTTTACTTACATTTTAATGATCTCAGTTCAGCGGTCATGCTATGATGCAGCACAGACTAGAAGTGACTTTGCACAGATATTTAAGTTATTTTGCTTTTAGAGGTGTTCTCCATAGAGCTATACAGTATATCACAGAAGTGAGTACACCCCTCACATTTTTGTAAATATTTTATTATATCTTTTCATGTGCCAACACTGAGCCTGTGGAATTTGCAGTGTTTTCTGTGCGAATTCCGCACCGCATCAGAATTGCACCCCATTCATGCAAACCGCAGCGGGTGTGTATGTTAAGTTAACAACACCCCGAAAGCGGTCCGCAAAACGCGGTGCGATGTGCAGAATTGGATCGCATAGGTGTGAATACCCATGCGATCTGATTCTAGTGCAGACCCAAAAAAGGGTCCTGCACCTTTTTGGTGCAGGTGCGGTGCAATTAGAATGTGGTGCTGTTCCTGTGCTAATCACATGTGATATACCGCACCACACATAAATGTGAACCCAGGCTAAAGAAATTACAATTTGCTACAATGTAAAGTAGTGAGTGTACAGCTTGTATAACAGTGTAAATTTGCTATCCCCTCAAAATAACTCAACACACAGCCATTAATGTCTAAACCGCTGGCAACAAAAGTGAGTACACTCCTAAGTAAAAATGTCCAATTTGGGCCCAATTAGCCATTTTCCCTCCCCAGTACCATGTGACTCATTAGTGTTACAAGGTCTCAGGTGCGAGTGGGGAGCAGGTGTGTTAAATTTAGTGTTATCGCTCTCTCTCTCTCATACTGGTCACTGGAAGTTCAGCATGGCACCTCATGGCAAAGAACTCGCTAAGGATCTGAAAAAAAATTATTTTTGCTGTACATAAAGATGGCCTAGGCTATAAGAAGATTGCCAAGACCTTGAAACTGAGCTGCTGCATGGTGGCCAAGACCATACAGCGATTTAACAGGACAGGTTCCACTCAGAACAGGCCTCGCCATGGTCGACCAAACTGGTTGAGTGCATGTGCTCAGTGTCATATCCAGAGGTTGCCTTTGGGAAATAGACATATGAGTGTTGTCAGCATTGCTGCATAGGATGAAGGGGTGGGGGGTCAGCCTGTCAGTGCTCAGACCATACGCCGCACACTGCATCAAATTGGTCTGCATGGCTGTCGTCCCAGAAGGAAGCCTCTTCTAAAGATGATGCATAAGAAAGCCCGCAAACAGTTTGCTGAAGACCAGAAGACTAAGGACATGGATTACTGGAACCATGTCCTGTGGTCTGATGAGACCAAGATAAACTTATTTGGTTGAGATGGTGTCAAGCGTGTGTGGCGACAACCAGATGAGGAGTACAAAGACAAGTGTGTCTTGCCTACAGTCAAGCATGGTGGTGGGAGTGTCATGGTCTAGGACTGCATGAGTGCTGCCAGCACTGGGGAGCTACAGTTCACTGGGGGAACCATGAATGCCAACATGCACTGTGACATAATGAAGCAGAGCATGATCCCCTCCCTTCGGAGAATGGGCCGCAAGGCAGTATTCCAACATGATAATGACCCCAAACACACCTCCAAGAAGACCACTGCCTTGCTAAAGAAGCTTAGGTTAAAGGTGATGGACTGCCCAAGCATGCCTCCAGACCTAAACCTTATTGAGCATCTGTGGGGAATCCTCAAACGGAAAGGTGAAGGAGCGCAAGGTCTCCAACATCCACTAGCTCCGTGATGTCATCATGGATGAGTGGAAGAGGACTCCAGTGGCAACCTGTGAAGCTCTGGTGAACTCCATGCCTAAGAGGGTTAAGGCAGTGCTGGAAAATAATGGTGGCCACACAAAATATTGACACTATGGGCCCAATTTGGATATTTTCACTTAGGGGTGTACTCCCTTTTTGTTGCCAGTGGTGTAGACATTATTAGCTGCAAATGGCCAGCAAATTTAAAAGATATAATAAAATATTTACAAAAATGTGAGGGTTGTACTCACTTCTGTGAGATACTGTATTTCATAATTGAGGATATAGCTGGGATGGGAGGTGTGGGGTTGTGCCTGGAGTTAAATGTGTCACCAAGCAATAAATTGATATAGGCATTTGAAACTTTATACAGATCTCAACTATTTGGACTATTGTTCATTGGATCAGATGACAAATGTATGTATATTGCAGCATATTCCCTCTAGCTTTCAATTTTTGGGCAACTGATGAAGAATAGAATGTACAAGTCTGAAAACCTTGTCCAATTGCTATTGTCTCCCTTCTCCATCCAAAATGAAAGTGATCACAAGTCACAAAGACCTGTTTTCTCAGTATCATAGATATATAATACTTTAATTAGGGAAAGATTTTCTTTTTTTTTTTGTATTTTATTTTCAGTAATGTTTCCTTATTCAGTTATATAAAAAATTCCAATTTTAAATGTTCTTTCCTATAGATCATGATGGAAAACAAACAACTCATGGAAATGAATCTACAGCATCTGACAGTGATGACTGCATCATACCTGAAGATAAAGGGATGAAACCAGTAAGTACAATGTTATCATTTTACTTTATGGTTAGTAGTTTATTGGGCATTGTAGTAGAATGTATTTTGCAGAACATATTATGTACTGTATATATTATATAAGTAGATATGAATTCTGCATTGTCAAATTATAATTGCAATTACATACCCATATGAATATATTGGGATGTTAGTTTATAAGACTCCTGATAACAGCACGCGGCCATGACGCACTTTTAGACTCTGTTATAGAGTACATTGCTTTTGCTTTAAATAATGTTTAACACATTCTTTGTAAATCTGGGTTTTAATTGAATCCATCATGCTTCTGCATACTTGCCACTATTGCCATGTTGTCATGCCAGTCCCAGAAAGGCCTTCAAAGTGCTGTGGGTAACATTGATACCTAAACTAACATTTCTGAGCATGGACACAGTTCCTTGGGATAGTCAAAGAGTGAATGTAGCAACATTATTCCTTGTAATTCTGTGGTCAAGGTGGCATGTTGGTGGTCTTGCTTTCTGTGCGTTGTAGACTTGCAGGAGTGCTTTTCAAGCTGCAGCCTAGAAGGCTAAGGAACCTACATTGATATTAAAGGTAATGCAATAGTGCTGCAAATAGTCACAGTTTCATCTTATTCATCGTTTAACAGTAATCTTGGGGAATAACTTTTCAGCTTTAGTAGTGGAAAAGTAATGTGTTTTATTATTACTCATGCAACATTTGACCAGTGCAGTGCATAAATGGCCCCCCGCTTTTACAGCCTGTGCGGGCTCCCTGGGACACGCGGCACTGCCATCCGGTGCCCGTTGTGTCCAGATCGCTGTACGGGACTACTGTGTGAGGTCCCGATCATGTGATCACTGATTGGCTAATCAGTGATCACATGAATAGTAGTAAACAAGATGTCACTTCCTGACATCATTGCTTACTGCTTGTGAAATCTGTGAATGATCACAGAGGTCACATGCTACAAGGCTATTCACAACAGCCTTGTACCATGTGACAAGCTGTGACCAATCACAGCTCTCACAGTATTTCTCAATGGCTGCAAGAATGCAGTCGGAGAGGAGAAATGATTGCTTTTACAGCCTTTATGGGTGTAAAAGCAATCAGTATATAAAAAAAAAACCTTATCACCCCCCACAAGTAGTACAGTGTCACTATTGTGACACTATACTGCTAGGGTGACAGTATGTTAAAAAAAAAATAAATAAATAATAATATAAAATAAAAATGTAAAAAAAAAATGTAAAAATTATACTTTTTACTAAAAAGATAACTGAATACATTTTGGCCAAGATTTATGAAGAAAGATTATTTCCAAAATGTTTGGACTTTTTCATTTATATAGCAATAACAAAAAAAAAACTCAATGGTGAATAAATACCACCAAAATAAAGTTTTTTATCGGTCTCAAAAAAAAGTCTCTAAAAAATATATATTCATATGGGCACAGTGTTGCATGACTTCGCAATTGCCATTCAAAGTGTGATAGCACTGAAAGTTGAAAATTGGCCTGGACAGGAAGGGGGTAAAAGTGTCCGGACTTGAAAGTGGTTAAGAAAAGTGGATAGTATCCTTTCTAAATCGGGAAGGATCATTGGATTGATAAAACCCTACAATTCCATTAAGTCACATATATACTTCAGTTATTTAGCTCAGTGTCTGTTTAACTAATTTATTACTACATAATTTGCAATACTTTACATAGGACAAAAAAATAAAATTGTTCACATTACATCATTCTTTCCCTTTTAACCACTTCCTGTCTGGACACTTTTACCCCTTCCTGTCCAGGGCAATTTTTAGCTTTCAGCGCTATCACACTTTGAATGACAATTGCGCGGTCATGCAATACTGTACCCATATGAATTTTTTACCATTTTTTTGAGACAGATAAAGCTTTATTTTGGTGGTATTTATTCACCGCTGGGATTTTAATTTTTTTTACTATGTAAATGAAAAAGTTCAAAAATTTTGAAAAAAAGTGTTTTTTTAAATAAAATTTTGCAAATAAATAATATTTCATCATAAATCTTAGCCAAAATTTATTCCGTTATTTTTTTTGCATTCTTGCAGTCATTGATAATTACTGAGTGAGCTGTGAGTGGTCACAGCTTGTCACATGGTACAAGGCTGTTGTGAATAGCCTTGTACCATGTGACCTCTGTGATCATTCACAGATTTCACACATAGTAAGCAATGATGTCACAAGTGACATCTTGCTTACTACTTTGCATGTGATCACTGATTCGCCAATCAGTGATCACATGATCGGGACCTCGTACAGAGGTCCCGTCCGACGATCGGTGTTTCACTGTGTCCGGAGGACACTGCGGGCACCGGATCGCGGTGGTGCGCGCTCCCAGAGAGCGCGCACAGCTAGAAAAGGCGGGTGCCGTTTATGGACGGCAACCCGACCCTGGACTGCCACCGCCCTGCCGTTTATAAACAGCAGGCGGACGGCAAGAGGTTAAGAAACTTACATTCTGCTGTTTGTCACAGTTAGACAAACATATATATACACTTGCACACTTTTAAGGACAGTTTTTAAGTGAAAGCCAATTAGTCTAGGTAAAGTCTATGTTCTTGGAAAAATCTGTATGTAAATGGATAGAAAACTGGCTAAAAGATCGTATTCAAAGAGTAGTGGTTAATGATTTGTACTCTGCATGGTCTAGGGTTGTCAGTGGTGTACCCCAAGGTTCAGTGTTGGGACCCTTACTTTTTAATATATTTACAAACAATATAGGGTCTGGGATTAAAAATCCCATTTCAGTCTTTGCAGATGACACCAAGCTGTGCAGTGGAATAACGGATTTACAGGATGTCTCCAACTTACAAGCTGACCTCAATGCACTGTTTAATTGGGCAACTATATGAAAAAATGAGGTTTAATGTTGATAAATGTAAGGCTATGCACTTGGGGGCTAAGACTATGCATGCATCATACATACTAGGGGGAGTACAAATGAAGGAGTCAGTGGTGGAGAAGGATCTGGGAGTTCTGGTAGATCACAAGCTCAATAATGGCATGCAATGCCAAGCTGCGGTTTCTAAAGCGAGCAAAATCCTCTCTTATATTAAGAGGTATAGACTCCAGAGAGAGATATATCATATTACCCCTGTAAAAATCATTAGTAAGACCTCATCTGGAATATGCAGTTCAGTTTTGGGCACCAATTCACAAAAAGAACATTGGGGAACTGGAGAAAGTACAGAGAAGGGCAACCAAACTGATAAGAGGCATGGAGGAGCTCAGCTATGAGGAAAGATTAGAGGAACGGAATTTATTCTCTCTTGAGAAGAGGAGATAAAGGGGGATATGATCAACATGCATAAATACATCTGTGGTTCATATATTGAACTTTGTGTAGAGTTATTCACCATTTTGTCATCAGAGAGGACAAGGGGGACACACTTTATGTCTGCAGGAAAAGAGATTTAATCTCCAAATATAGAAAGGTTTCTTCACAGTAAGAGCTGTGAAAATGTGGAATAGACTCCCTCAAGAGTTGGTTCTGGCCAGCTTTAGAAAGGCCTGGATTCTTTCTTAGATACACAGAATATAACTGGATACTAACATTTATAGGTAAAGTTGATCCAGGGAATATCCAATTGCCTCTCGGGGGATCAGGAAGGAATTTTTTTCCCTGCAGGAGCAAATTTGATCATGCTTTGCTGGGTTTTTTTGCCTTCCTCTAGATCAACTATGGGTATAGGATTATAACTTTTATTTATATATATAAAAAAAACTACATAGAGGCGTTTTTGCATTGAAGTCATTGAGGTCAAAGGGACGAAGTCAATAGGGGGTGTTTTTGCATTAAAGTCAATGGGACGTAATTTTGCATTGAAGTCAATGGGATTCGATCTTGCATTGATTATCTGCACTTTTTTTTTTCTATCGACAAACAACAGACAACCCTGTTTTTTGGAGGCCGCTATATCGATACATCATTTGTATGTATATATATATATATATATATATATATATATATATATATATACACACACACCGACACACACACACTCACCACATTGTTTGGTACACCTGTTCAATTGCGTGGTAACACAAATAGCTAATCAGTCAATCACATGGCAGCAGCTCAATGTATTTAGGCATCTAGAAGTGATGAAGATGGCTTTCTGAGGTTCAAACCAAGCATCAGAATGGGGAAGAAAGGGGATTCAAGTGACTTGACTTTGAACGTGGCATGGTTGTTCATGCCAGACAGGCTGGCTTGAGTATTTCAAAAACTGCTGATCTACTAGGATTTTCATGCACGACCATCTCTACGGTTTACAAAGAATAGTCCAAAAAAGAGAAAATATCCAGTGAGCGGCAGTTGTGTGGATGACAATGCCTTGTTGATGTCAGAGGTCTGAGGAGAATGGGCAGACTGGTTCAAGATCATAGAAAGGCAACAGTAACTCAAATAACCACTTGTTACAACTAAGGTATGCAGAATACCATCGCTGAATGCACAAAACAGGAAACCTTGAAGCTGGGCTACAGAAGAAGAAGACCACACCGGGTGCCACTCCTGTCAGCTAAGAACAGGAAACGTAGGCTACAGTTTGCATGGGCTCACCAAAATTGAACAATAGAAGATTGGAAAAACATTGCGTGGTCGATTGAGTCTCGATTTCAGCTGCAACATTCAGATGGTAGAGTCAGAATTTGGGGTAAACATGAAAGCATGGATCCATCCTGCCTTCTATATTTACTTTGGGCTTGTAGTGGTGGTGTAATGGTGTATGGGGATATTGTCTTGGCATGCTTTTGGACCTCTTAGTACCAATTGAGCATCGTCTAAACGCCATGGCCTACCTGAGTATTGTTGCTGACCATGTCCATCCCTTTATGACTACAGTGTACCCGTCTTCTGATGGCTACTTCTAGCAGGATAATGCACCATGTCACAAAGCTCAAATCATCTCAAACTAGTTTCTTGAACATTACATATCTGCAGCAACTGCATGATGCTATCATTTCAATATGGACCAAAATCTCTGAGGAATGTTTCCAAAACCTTATTGAATCTATGCCACAAAGAACTAAGGCAGTTCTGAAGGCAAAAGGGGGTCCAACCCAGTGTTGGCAAGGTGTA